CACACACCGCCCTGCACACACCGCCCTCCACACACCGCCCTGCACACACCGCCCTCCACACACCGCCCTGCACACACCGCCCTGCACACACAGCCCAGCACACACAGCCCCGCACACACCGCCCCGCACACACCAGGCAGCCTGGGGATTCCTGCCAGGCCAGCCCAGCCTCCAGAGACCCTCTGCCACACAGGTTCAAACTCCGACTGCCCCCAAAAGAAAAAATATATTTATGACGCCAAATGGCCTCTGGTCTCTCCAGCCAACAGCCCCTGATCTCTACTCCCTTCCCCGGAGAAAGCCAGGCCCGTGAACTTCCTGGCTCTGCTCCCAGTGCCCAAAAAAACTGGCCACCAAGCCATCCACCCCTCCAACCCCCCTACTCCCCCACCCCCAGCTCTGCGGGCTAGCGGAGGCCCCTGAGGACTGCAGCCATCCCACCCGCCACCTCTCATTTCGGGGAGGTCACACCCACCCCAGACTCACCACCAGCGGCCAGGGCACCATGTACAACTTCATGTGCAGCTGGAACAGGTAGAGGACGAAGAGGACGATTGTCACCAGCCAGAGGAAGACAGCGACGAACATCACCCAGCCGTAGGCCGGGTACAGGTGGTACGGGGTGTCGGCGATCAGGGCCCACACCAGCAGCCCCAGCGCCTGGAGGGGAGAGAGAGGGCCAAGTCTCGCAGAGCGCTCAGCACTCGGGGCCTGATGCTAGCGGGCTCCCTCACATTTTCATTTAGTCAAGAAACATTTACCTGGCTCCTCCTGCACAGCCCTGTATACCGAGCCCCCCTTGCCTGGTAGCGTCCTCCCCGTTCAGTCTCAGCTGAATGCTACCTGCTCAGGTTCCCCTCCTCCACTCTGGGTCCCAGCACTCTCTTTGGGGCTCCCACCCCCCAGGATGGAAATTCTGTTTCTTCCCCCCGGACTGTGAGCTCCCCAAAAGCAGGATGACTGTCTCACACAGAGAGCCAAGCTGTCGCCCCCCCACAGGAGGGTGGGCCCTAACACCTGGCAGACTGTGTAGCTGCTACCAGCACGGACCCCGGAGAGACTGGCTGGTTTAAAACGTCCCTCCCCCTCCCTCCAACCCCCGCCAGCTGAGTGACTTGGCACATCTGCCAGCTCTGTGCTTTGGTCGCCTCATCTGCCAAATGAGTGTAAGGCCCACACCTGCGTCCTAGGGTTGCGTTAAGGACCCGGGATCTCTGTATGGAAGTGTTTGTTTTCATTATTCCCAGCCCTCCAGACCACA